AGATTGGCCGACAAACACGCACGGCAGAGAAGATACGCACGCGGCTCAGACGCACGTAACTTTACGCGGAACAAGGTGACTTTTACCAAGTTCTAAATGATTAGAAGAATAGATTAGAAGTTGTTGGAGAGGGGTTTTTTCTCATCTTGCTAGAGCCAAGGATTAGGAAGGAATTTAGGTAACTCTTGGAGATGCTCTAATAGAGTTGTACCTTTCTTTCCTATATCAATGAAATAGGCACATTCTCGTGCCATTCGTTAAAAAAAAGCTAGCTAGCTTATTATTGTGCAGCTCAATATAATCATGAAAATATACAACTTTATATATATATATATATATATATATATATATATATATATAGTTACTTTCCTTTTGTCATATAAATTGCCTTTTTTATTATACTTTTACAGTAAGATCATGTCCTACTGTTCTGCTAAAAAGGTAACTAATGTCAAATTTTTAATTACTATGTGCGTATTTAATTATTTGTGAAAACAAGAATAATGCTCATCGACATCATTCTAAACTAAAAGTAAATATATATTTTTCACTAAAACATAATGAAAAGCATGATAAATAATTCAACTCTAGTTAATCATATTAGGCTGCCTGAATGATGTTCGACTATGCACAATTAAGGTTGATATGTGGACTACCTATGTCTTTTTGAAGAGAATGTTAGACTAAAAAGTCTTCAAGTTCATTCTTTGACCATCAATTTGTCTCCTGTAATACATCATCAACTATAACAAAATAAATGTACATCAAAATATGTGTGGAATATGCATCTACCAATACAAACTTTTGTACATTAAATACGCATAATTGACTTTCTTGAATCCTAATATGCCTGAACAGATGGGTGCGATATTTAATTACATGAAACAGTGTACCCAATTTTGCAATATTTGGAATCAGAGGGGGTATATATAAGACATTATTTATTAACTTATTTGTTCCCATTTTTGCAACGGTGTACCCTTCATCTGACTGTTTTGAAAAAGATTAATTGCACAATGATAATAAACACCATCATGTTGATAACAATTCTCCACTTTTGCATCCTCAGACCCTCATTATATCTGTTTATTTGTTTTCATTGCCTTACTTAACTGCAAGAATGGCCAAAAGGAGGAGGATTGAAAGGGGTGGCACTATGTCTTTTTTTATTTCAATATATCCTATCTCAAGTAGTAGACACCAAAACCTTGTATTAAAACAAACCAATGGTTCATAACTCATAAGCACAAGGCATGTGGAGCTCTTTACTTTGTCTATTTATCACACCCGTCTATATGTAGACTTACATAACATATCCCAATATCTAGCATTGAAAGCATATATACTTCACCAAATTTGAGATCATTTCACTTTTGTGCCAAATTTCTTTGCCTAAAAAGAAATGGGGGAATCATCTCTGCCACAATATAGATTTTAACTCTACGGGGAATGATATTATATTTTAACACACATGTTGATCCACATGTTTGTCATCTCTTACCGGCACCTCACACTACAAGAAATGTGCCAGTTTATGACGTTTATGGCATGACATAAGGTTAAAATATCACTAAATCAACTAGTTTATGACGTTTTTTCTAGAGGCCTCTCAACTTAGTGACTTAAGTAAACGTATGTCACAAAAAATATCTTAAAGCTAGTTCAATTGTATATTGTGACAATATTTGCCACGTCATAAAGAGTAATTCGCAAGGATGATGTGTCAAATGATTTTATTGATCTTGTTAGCATTGTTATCCATGGTGGCATGAAGGTCCAACTACGAATTACGGGTCTAGTAACACCCCTAGGTGTTAATCAAGGTCGTTAATCTTATCCATAGTCATATATCATTGTAGTAATAGGCAAGTTAAAGAAATCAAGATGTATATAAAATATATAAATATTATTTGTTGTTAATTGTTTGCAATAGTAGATAAAAATATACATAAATATGTATATATGGTTGAGTTGAGTATTAAGATAATAATTAAATAAAAATACATTTATATATACACGCATATCTTATTTTTAGTGTGAAACTAAATTGGTGCCAAATGTACATATATATTTTTATCTCTCTGCTTATATTAATGTACTAATTGTTTGTACGCATGACAATTTGTTTTCTGAAAAAGGTTCAATAATTAACAAAAGAAAGAAAATGCCACGCACACAAAGAAGCTTGGTGATTAATGTGTTCCAGTTGTTAACTAATTCATTGCTAATCACTTTGGTTGCTGATTGTTGCTGGTTTGAGCTAGGAAGGTTTAAGTTCCATGAAAAATTGTGGCTACACATACTTAATGCTGGAATTCAGCTGTTGTAATGCTGAAATTGAATGTTCGAACATAGAATTAGTGTGATTGTGCAGTCCTCTTTTGACCAATGTTGCCACACAGGGCTCGAAGCTTCCCTGTTCTTTAGTGTTTTAGTATGAAGAAACTGAACAATATTGCTAAACATAACAGCACACAATTATTTTATTCTGAACTACTTGCCATCTTCGAAAAAAAAACAGTTTGCCACACATCTTCAGTATATGTTTTTCAGCAATATGACATTGACAGTAGCATTCAGTGATTGTGTACACACGTAGATGGATGACAGTAGCATCTGTTGATTGTATAAATTCAGTGACAGTAGTATAAATACATGGAATGCCATTGCTTGGACCTTTAGTTGCTGCAATTAATTGGGTCGTGTAATCACCGGAAGTTTATAGAAAACTGAACTATACTTGAGTGTTTTTCTGTATATGTGCCAAGTTTAGTTAGCATTTCTGAATGATGGGGAACCATGATAATAGTTTAAGCTCAGCATCAGAAAACATTATGTGTTCTTACTAGTAGTTTACATGTTGCCCTTCTAACCTGATACACATACGATAGACCAACTGCACAGACTTTTGTGTGCTATAAAAAAACTACAGGCAATCAGCACAAGGCAGCAGGATCAAAGGCTCCCTGACTCTTCCTGCAATTTCATGACAGATGGCTAGATGCAAGTGCAGTCTGCATTAGACTGTCACATGTTTTATATCATGTCATTTTTGAATGGTCACTTCGTAGCCTTGCATTGCTTCAGCTTAAATTTCTCCAAGTTCTTTGTACTAAGCTCAAGTTTTGTTTTACTTGTTAGAACAAGTCATCTTATTGTTAGAGCAAGTTAATGGTTCAGGAAGTTGAAGGCGCTTATTCAATATATTCTGTATATGAAAAATTAGTAGAAATTTGAAAATGTAGCTTGTTATAATCTTAAAAATGCAGAAGTACAATTATTTAACTCAACTATTTGATTGCAATACATATGCATGAACCTAGAGCTGACTCTAATCTTTATATCTTTGACTAATGTTTGTAGTTTGAGGTAGCAGGGTGCTGCCTTAGAGGTTAATAGTGTGGCCTGGAGGGTATCTCAGCGAAGTGAAAAGCTTCAGTAATGTATGTTTAGGTGTAGCTACAACTCTCTTTTTTAGTTTGATGAATGTTCAAGAAGAAATGGCTATGTTGTTGATGTTATTTTGGACTTGTGACTTAGATGTAGCGTGATGTATGATGTATCTGGGCTGTGAGTTTGATATTATAATTTTTTTCTACCTAGGATTTTCTCTAAGATTGTGTAATTTGAATATAGATGAGATGTTTAAATTAAAATTTTGGGCTAAAAATGAAATGCAAATTGGAATGATCTTGTTATGTGGTATGGTGTAAGTTGTGACTTAAAATCAAATGTCATAAAGCTTTGTGACTTCAAAACCAGTGTCATAAATGTATGACGTAAACATATAAACGTCATATAACATGGTTTAAGGCGCATGATTTTTGACACATGTTTTTTCGTCATGCTGGTGTCACAAATGTTGATATGTGACAAAAATTCCATATATTATGACTTAAATTAATTGTCATAAAACAGCACATTTCTTGTAGTGTCAGGATTTGCCACTCCATACACATGGATCAGGATGCCATGCCAATGAGTAGCTTTAATCAGAGATTATGTTTTTATAGTGTCATATCGTCAACTATTTCGGAAAATAACTTACAATTAAGCAGCACCGCGCCATCTCGATGCTCCACTTATCATATGATCATCATGCTGTCACTCATGATATTAAAAATACTCTGTCAAAGTATGATGCATCAATTTGAAACTCCTAAATTACTGAGACTAAATTGGTAACGATATATACTTGATATGTGGTTACATAGCGGTGCAACTTGACAAGTAGCTAGATGTGATGCTACTATCGGTAATTGTTACCATATATGCAATTTGAGCAGAAGGCCATATATAGTTTAGAAATTGTGACAGCATATACCTCGTGTGATGATGCACATATGGGAAGAGGCAGTTTGTTGTGAGGCTATGATCAGTGATTAGTCGTCAAAATTTGTTTTGCTGCCCTTGTAGCCCTGTGGCCCTCTACGTCTCATTGAATCCAGTATGTACCTGTCTAGCGTGCCACCATCTGCACAGCAAGTGTTTGTTTTAGGGACATAAAAACAAGAAATCTAGCTAACCCATCTCTTGTTGCGATGAGAAAAAATATATATATATAAGGGACAGAAACTGATAATTTACGCAAGACGGGCAGCATTTTGTATAACAATCACAGCTTAACTACTCGTTCCCCCAATTCTCTGTCAGGACACATATTCAGATCGGATCAAAATGGAGGCATGAGTGCATCATGAAGGTCAAATGAAGGGACAATTTAATTTGTGTGCATTTATTCACAGAGGGGTATTGGAATTACAACAACCCTAAGGAGAATTTTACTAATTGCAATTATTAGGCCACTCGGAAACTGACAGCATGTCATATATGCATGCATGTATATTTTCTCGTACACATACATAGAAAAAACACGTATTCTTTCAAAGTACACATACACGTCGTCAGCCAAGGCGGTAGAAAACACTCAACAGATCGAGGGGAATACACACACGCATCTTCGACTTCTCGCTGCGGATCTAGCCAGAGCCAGCTACTGCCTACTGGAAGAATCCCCTGAGCAGTTCCTCGACTCGAGCCGCAGCGCGACCGAGCCTGTCACAGCCGCTGAGCGTGAGGAACCCCAGCGCGGCGCCTATGGTGAAAAGCCCATATCCAGCCAGGACATGCTCCGGATTATCCGCGCGGTTGAGCTTGAGCACGGTGCCATGGAGCACCACGGAGGCTCCACAGGCGAAGAAGAACGCCGAAGCCTGGATGCGGCGGTCCTTGAGCTCGAGCAGCTCCCGCAGGGCGACGACGAGGCCTTCCCCTCGGCCCCCGGCGGCAGGGGCGGATGGTTCCTTCTCCATCGATCCACTCGAGCTAGCTGGATCGGCGGCGGTACGGTGGCGGCTTTGGGTTCGCCTCGGGTGGATCTAGGCTAGGGTTTTCGGCTCCTCCCCTAGGCAGTTTGCACACACTGTTACGTTGGGCACTGGCTCTTGTAGAGTGAGGACCGGCCTGGCTGCCTAGGCTAGCAGTAGGTGATGCGGCCGCGGCGTGAACGACCAGCAGGCATTGGACCGCACGGCATGTTCGCGGGCTTGGGCTTCCCTACAGTTGGAGCCGCATGTCATGGGCCTGAGATATTACGCGGGCCATCATCTTCTTTTGTTTGAGATGTCCACGGGCTTTCTAGGCGTGCTGTTACTTTCAGCTTTGACAGCCTCGGCACGACCGCACCAACCGTTGACCAAGACGTAGATCTGCATCTTGTGCTAGCATTGCAAGGAAACAGAAGTTAATTCTGATTTATGCACGCTGTATTTGTGATGATTTGTGCCCTAATCTGTCTATCTTGTCCTTCTTCATCCTACTACTTTTTACGAGATCAATTAAAAGATGCATGCATATAGTTGTTCAGGAATTGATCTCGTAAAACGGAATAAGCAGCACCGCCAGATAGACCGACCGATCGGAGCTTAACTCTCATATATGCATCGTCTTCTCACATCAGACGAGGTAGCAGGCATGTCATGCACAGGAGACACCATGCATAGATTAGGCAAATTAAGGCCAGGTGAAACAAAAGGTAGCAAATTAGCGTGTAAGATAGTGAAGTTTCATTCCGGCCAGGGGTGATGATGAAAATTAAAAGAATCTTGCACACGCTGCGAACAAACGCTGAATAAGTTTCAAGGCAACGAACAAAACAGAAGAGCGACGTACATGCATGTGGCTGCCATTCGGATCATAGCGGGCGGGCAGCGGCGACGGCGGAGGCACGGCAAGCATATATATGGTAGCGCGCAGGCCGCCGGCGTGTTGACGACCTCATGAAGGCCGGGGATCGGCGGAGCTAGCTAGGTAGGAGAAGCATATGGTGGGTCGTGGGCATGGACATGAATGGTAGCCAGCGCTCGCTTATATTACTAGACTAGATTGGAAACATATGGACCAGAGTTTAAATATCTTTAAGTCGCCGTCGGTAGCAGGCGTGGCTGCTAGAAAATAATTTCGCATAGACCAATCATCTTGCAGATCTCGCTCGCTCGTCACTAAGCAGCAACAAGTGGACACGGAGGTACCGCAGTTATATATGTATATATATACACACACGTACTGTGCTACCGTAGAATAAGTTATTCTATAGCCACTTTGAGTTACGATAATTACTATACTAATTTACGAGATTATGTTAACTCCCTCATAAGTGATTTGCTATAGTATTATGGTAAGTATCATCTTAAATTATAGTAACACATGTATCATAAATGTGTATTGTCATTATCGTAAATTAAGATGACCATAGAATAAGTTATTTTATGGCCAGTTATAAAATAGCCTTACCGTATATATATATATATATATATATATACTCTCTCTCCAGGACAAGCTGCTGCTGTGGAATACTCTGAAGGAAAGGCCAGTCCAACGCCAAAATAAGTCTAGAGAAGTGTTGTGACTGGCCAGCCAATAGGGAGGGGGCACGTTCCAACGTTGATGGGTCTAGTCGGCAAATTAGGAGGTACCGTGGTTACTGAGGCTTAGGGCGTATTTGGTTCTTCAGTCGTTTCTAAAATTCATGTCATATCGAATGTTTAGATACTAATAAGGAACATTAAATATAGATTAATTATAAAATTAATTACATAGATGGAGGCTAATTTATGAGACGATTTTTTTAAGCCTAATTAATCCGTCATTAGCACATGTTTACTGTAGCATCACGTTGTCAAATTATGGACTAATTAGACTTAAAAGATTCGTCTCGCAAATTAGTCGCAAGTTGTGCAATTAGTTTCGTAATTAGTCTATATTTAATACTTCATACATGTGTCCAAATATTCGATGTGACAATAATTTTAGGAGTTCATGTAGAAACCAAACTCTTATTATGTCTAAAGTATTGGTCCCAGCATATATTAATAAATATAGTAGTACAGCCCGTCACGTTTAACATTAACACGCACAGGGCAGAGCATTTTTTGTTGATTGATCCCTTATGAGCTTGCTTTGGTGCCTTGACATATTATCTGAAGATAGATTACATAATAACACTATTAGCACGAGTTTAACCAAATACTAATAACACTTATATAGAGTACATTACAATACACGCCAGAGATAAAAAGTACCATCTGTATTCCAAATTATAAGTCGTTTTGGCCTTTTAGATATAAGAGCTTTTGCTATGTATTTAAACATAGCATAGTATCTACGACGGAGTAGGTGCATAAAAAAAACTATGTATTTAGAAAAAACAAAATAAATTATAAATCGAAACAGAATGAGTACACAATAAAAGCACACTAAAACGTACCACTACGCCGGCCCCATCACTAGCCACTGTCCATGCGCGCAAGATAGCCACTGCCCGCGCAAGATAGAGCTAGCTAGTTCCATGGGACGAAGAAGCGCCTGAGGACGGCGCCGGCGCCGGCGATGGCAGCGCCGGCCAAACGATCAGCCTGTGGCAACCAACCTTCCAATGGCACCAAGGAAAGGAGGCACACGCCCAGCAGCCAGGTGACGAAAGCGAGGAAGATCCACGCGGCGTCAGCGTCGGGGCTATTACTGCACTCGGTTGAGGCTGAGGCTGAGGCTGAGACGGCGGCGGCTGCTCCGAGCAGCATCAGCACGCGTGCGGCGTCGAGGAGGTTGTCGCGGTGGCCTGCTTCGACGTTGTCGTGCCCCCCGATGTGCTGCAGATTCGCCGGGTGATTAGGCCGCTCTTGTTGTTGGTTTGCCATTGGTGCGGGGGCCGCGGGCCGGGTCCCCTCTCGGAATGTGGTGGCTGGATGTGTCTGGGATTCTGGTAGGTGTGGTAAAAGAAGGCTACACATCATTTTATAGTGGAGAGGGGCTGCGCGTGATGTTTGGGCTTCCGGACCGTGATGTGTTCCGGTGTACCCGGAGTATTCCGCCGGACAGGGGGGTGACGACTGACGACGCGACGACTGCATGTGCTGCAACATGAATGCAATGCAACCCTGGTCTGTCATCATCGGCTAGTAAAGTTGTTGACCGTCCTAAAATTGCGGACTCTTCGTGTGTAGCCGGCTAGCCTCTGCCATCGTGGTGGGAAAGATTAAAGGGTGCTTGCACTATGCATAGTGACTTACTGAGGTCACAAACGGTCGATAGTGGAAGGGGGAATAACGACGGAATCTGGGTCCGTTTCTCTTGACAGCAGCATCTGGCCGGCGAACTACACCCACAAGTTTAGCTCCATCATAATTTGGAAATCGCATAGGTCGGAAAAAAGCACGCGACTTTCCTTCCTTTCCTCGTCCATCGATCCACGCGGATTTTGAAAAATATCTGCTCGCTTCACACGTCTGCTGTCACCGGTCACTGTCAAGGTGAAGCTACATCTCAATTCTTCGTCACCAAGCATGAATGGTAGACGCTAGGCAGCGCTTATTAGTAGGTTAGATATACACATATACATGGAGCAGTTTAATTATCAAATAAGTGGCCGTCGACAGCGGGTGTGTGGCTGCTGGAAAATAATTTCGCATAGACCAATCATGTTGCAGATCTCGCTCGTCACCAAGCAAGTGGTAACGGAGGTACCGTAGTTTGATTTGAGTATATATACTCCAGAACAAGCTATGAAAATACTCTGCCAAGCATGGATGGTTGTCGTTGAAAAGGCTTAGCACGTAGCGTTTAATCATTTATCGTTTTGTTTGGTTTCAGTTTTCGAGAGCTAAAAAAACAGCATGTGGCTAGATCTATAATAAGAATTGGTTGTTCTGTGGAATACGACGAATGGTCCAACGCCCAAAATATAGCATAGTGTTGTGACTGGCCAGCCAATAGAGAGGTGTCGTCGACATCTCACGCTCCAACGTTGATTCGTCTTGTCGGCAAATTACGATGGGCCTTAAGTTACACAGGCGTGTTCACCTGCTAACGCCTGATCGGGCCTCACCTAGCCTGGACTGATTGGGCCGCAGAAGCTGAGGCTTGCGTTTAAATATATATCTATATCTATGTCTAATAATAGATAAAATTTCTTTCCACCTAATTTTTGGTTTGTCCATCTCTTAACTAACTCTGTGGATGTGGAAAACCACATATAGCCCTTCTCTTTATATAACTAGAATCATTATCCAATTAGATCTCTCCGACGAGTGAATAGAAATCTTAATCAAATAGAAAAAATATGTCCCATGTCTATACGTTGCTGATGTGCTTCACCGAGTCCAAACAAATCCGAACATGTGCAGGCATCGCATAGCAAGGACCTGAGAGATAAAAGGACTCGATTGCACACGGCAAAAAGATGGATTCCGTAACCATCCCCTCAATCATAGGAGCATGCGGATGATGGAAGGAGTCGATAGGAAAATGGGAAAAGAATTCCCTACCGCTTCCCAGTCATGAGGATGTGGATGTGGATGTGGATTTATATTCATATCTATAATATATCTTTATCTTTTATACCCAAAAAATTTAATCTTATTTTTTCGTTCACCCCTCCCTACCTATACAAAAAATATATTTTTTCTTTCCAAAATATACTTATGTCCTTTTATGTCTGATATGTGACCTAAACTCATAGCCATGACCCGTGCTCGTATGAGTTAGAACAACCCGCGTCTAGCGGTCATACAGAATCCAGTCGACGATGCTAAAGAACCCATGAGAGATAGGGATAGAGCCTCATGGCATGCAATGATAAATTAGAATTACGTATTTTTATGGGTCTTTATTAAAATCTTACGGAGCTTGATATTTAACTATACCATACATAAATAGTATATAAAAATTAAAATTTATGATATATTAACGTTTAAATATTTCTATGATTTGCAAGATGATAAAAACATCAATACATATGTATCATTTTCGTCATTGTTTCTCATCGATAGTTTTTTTCTCCCGTTGTAACACACAAGCATATTTGCTAGTTAGGAAAAAGTCCACATTACCTTCCTCGACTTTTGCAAAAGTTTGATTTTTCTCCTTGAACTCTAAAACTGGGTAAACCACTTTCCTAAACTTTTAAAATCGTTCATTTTACCACCCTGACTGGTTATAAGCAGTTTTCAAAGTCGGTTTTGTCTTTTTCTTTTTTATTTATTTTGGCTGAATCTATAAAAAATTATAGTAAACCATAGAAAAATCATAAAATAGAGAATCTAATTTTGTTGGACTCCACATGAGTAGATCTACGCAATAAACATATAATATGGTATGTTTTAATACAATTTTTTTTGTTGTAACTTTAGATCTATGCTTTTCTGTAATTAATTCATAGCTGCAGTTTTTATGGTCTAATTGTGGTGAAATTTTTACTGTAGACTAATTATTGTATGCTTGAACTATAGCAAAAATTTCATACTCATTTGATCATGTATAACTTAGTTATAAATTTATAAATACTTTTTAACAAGCGTACACCTGTATAACTTAGCGCAAGATACAGCTAGTTCCATGGGATGAAGAAGCGCCTGAGGACGGCACCGGCGCCGGCAATGGCACACGCCGAGCAGCTAGGTGACGAAACCGAGGAAGAAGACCCACACGTTGTCAGGGTCGGGGTTGCAGTTGCACATGGTTGAGGTTGAGACGGCGGCGGTACTTTTCCTTTCATTCGAATTAAATATTAAATGGAGGAAGCAAAAGGTGACCAGATCAAAGCAATTCAAGAGGCATTGATAGGATTTCTTATGGATGAGGTCATAGATCCCAGAGGCACGTACTACTATGACCCTAAAGATGTAATACTTAGTAGCCATACGACTGAAGATTAGGGTTGAATGAAATCCCAAGGACATGAGTATAAGGTTTTTGTGACCGTAAGGAAAATGGACCCTTGGTCCATTTACTTTGGATTTTGGTGCTTAATGATCAACACAACTAAATTGGACTAATGAACTTGCAAGTGATTGTTTTGTAGTTCAATAGGATGTAAGACATGACTTGGACGAAGGCGACGTGATGATCCGATGATCAACACCATAAGCAAGACCTTAGAAGCACAAGAGAAGACCCAAGATATCAAGCAAAGTCCAAGCACGAAGATAGGAACCAAGCTGTACGCAAGATCGTGAAGAAACAAGCTCACAGATGTGACCGGACGCTGGACCGGACGCTGGAGGAAAGTGACCGGACGCTCCGATCAAGAGGCTCTCAACAACAGCGTGGCCGGATCTTTGGACCGACGCACTGGAGGCAGATCGACCGGACGCAGGACAGTAGAGTTTGGTCAAGTACAGAGAGGTTCCAGAGCGGCGAAAATGCGACCGGACGCGTCCGGTGACATGTGACCGGACACTAACGGCGTCCAATCAATGGATCACGGCTCCAATAGTCGGGGACGACGGACGCGTCCGGTCGATGTAAAAGCGGATTTCGTCCTCAACGGCTACTTTTTCAGTGGGGCTTATAAATACAACCCCCAACCGGCCAAATGAGGTGAGTGGAGCTGAGGAAACATATCAAGGGTGTTGATACACCATTTTAATGATCTCCACTTGCATAGTGTTTAGTGATTTATTAGGTGATTAGCGTGGGTGCTGCGAAGTGTTTAGGTTGATTAGACCACCGCTTATGCGCTTGCTCTAGGCTAAGACCTAGTGTTTAGTGAGGTTTGCATACCTCTTACCACTCTGTGCTTTGCGTGTACCATTGTTGTACATCGGAGGGGCTTGTAGTCTTCATGAGATCACATCAACCGTGTTTGTGGTGTGGCCACCACCGTGTACCCGAGAGGGACAAGCAGCGGTGTTTTGGTGAAAACTTGATAGTGGAGGCGGCGGAGAGCATCCGGGAGAGGCTTGCGGAAGGCACGTCGGAGACCCACTTGCATGCGTGGGGAAGGCCGAGGCTATCCATAGAGTTACCCGACCGGAAGCTTGACCCTTGCGAGGGATTCCTGCGAGGGGCTCCAACGAGGACTAGGGGAAGCTTATGCTGGCTTCTCGTTACCTCGGGTAAAAATACGAGTCGTCGATGGGAGTTTGCATATCTCTACCTTGCTCTTTAGTTTCGCATTTACATTGATTACATTACTCCTTTTACGGTAGAGATAGCAACACACTAGCAAAACCGTAGTTGCACATTTAGATAGTTTATCTTTTGCATAGGTTTTGCTAGGGTTAGAAAAAAAAAACCATAGTTTAGAGTTAGAATTTTAAGTTGCCTAATTCAACCCTCCTCTTAGGCATTACGATCCCCTACAGTGACTTTATTATATACATATTCCATGTATGTACAACCTCTTGAAATGTTTGTATATATGTAGTTTCATATATTTTAGTGTGTTATTTATGTATAATGCTCCAACATAACCTTATACGTGGACTTATATTAGCGGCGTAGAATTCGTATAGGAAAAACCAAAAAGAATTGAATTGAAAAGAAATTATAAAATAAAAAAATAGAGAAAAAAGAACCTTTAGTAACGGTTGGAAACACCAATCGGGACTACATGTGCCAGCCTCGGTACAATAACCGATGGTCATTTAGTCCTAGTTAGTAATAGCAACCAGAACTAAAGGTCCATTTAAAGGGCAATCAGAATTAAAAGTGGACCTTTAGTTCCGGATTCGCAATCCTGTTTGGAAAACTGAAACTAAATGGAGTTTTCAACCGGGACTGATGTCCAGTCCTGCACCAGTGTACGTGCTCTGCATTGCATTATTGCCAAGTGCTTAGTACACATGCGCACGCGAGATGATGCATGTAGCTATAGCCGTGGGGTGAGCAGGTGGTAGACGAGGACGGCGCTGGCGTTGGCGATGGCAGCGCCGGCCAACGCTTCAGCTTGTGGGAACCGGCCTGCCATGGGCACCAACGGAAGGAGGCAGACGCCGAGCATCCAGGTGACGAAGCCGAGCAAGACATGCACGGCGTCACTATCGATCAGCGTCGGGGGTGCCCGCGGCCGAGACCGCGGCGACTGCTCCTAGCACTAGCAGCATGAGCATTGAGCGCGCGCGCGGCGTCGAGGAGATGGAGATGGTACCGGTGGGCGGTGGCCTGGCAGGCTGGTACGTCGGCCTTGCCCTGCACCTGCACCTGCACCGGGTGATTGAGCACCTCTCCCGGTTGGCCATTGCCCATTGGTGTGTCATGCTCCAACGTTGATGGGTCTGGTTGGCAAGTTCAGAAGGGCCTTAATTTGCACGGGCCTGCTCTCCTGCTAACGCCTGACCAGGCCTCACGTACACTGGAGTGATTGGGCCGGCGAAACTGAGGCTTATATCTAAATTATTTTGCCTAGCATATTACAGTATATACAATAGTGGTCCGTTTAACATTAACACGCAAAGGGCATAGCGGTTTGATCAGTCACGCTATAAAGTGCAACCAAATACTAACTTTTTTTTAAAACGAATCGAACAGGAGAGCCGCTGACTGTATTAAAAAGAAGAAAAATCTAGATTGGACAATATAACGAAGCTGCAAAACACTTATATAGAGCATTATTACATAACACAGCTGGCATAATAATAGTACATGCTTCGGAAGATAGCGATCTGGGGAGACAGGTGTACTAAGTAAGGGAAATAAAGACAGGTAAATATGTAGATCCTTATTATTGACCAACATAATAAAGCACGCTAAAACGTACGACCAGCAGCGCTGCTCATTGCTCATGCACGCAGGATGGAGCTAGTTCCATGGGATGAAGAAGCGACTGAGGACGGCGCCGGCATTGGCGATGGCAGCGCCGACCAAACGATCAGTTTCTGGGAACCGACTTGCCAGTAATGGCACCAACCAAAGGAGGCACACGCCGAGCAGCCAGGTGACGAAACCGAGGAAGACCTGCGCGGCGTCAGCGTCTGGGTTGTTGCACATGGTAGAGACGGCGGCTGCTGCTCCTAACAGCATCAGCGCGCGTGCGGCGTCGAGGAGGCGGTACTGCTGGTGGTCGCGGTGGTGGCCTGCTTGTGCTTGGACATCGGCGTGCGCCGGGTGATTAGGCAGGAGCTCTCCCTGGGCCTGGTTGGCCATTCGTGCGGCTTGGGGCCTGGGACTGATGAGGAGTGTCAGGTGTGGTGGGTGGATGTGTGCTGCTGGATGCGTGATCTTCCTTTTATAATGGGAGAAGGAGCGGGTGCGGTTTTGTCGACCGGAAGACCATGCTGCTTGGGACATCCCGCGGGTGTGGTTTTGTCGACGATGTCACGTCCGGTCGACCCGCCCCCGCCCAAAAGATGACGTCCGACGACGAGAAAGCAGACCGCAGCGCCATCTCCAGCAACCTGATTTTTCCACAACGCCCGCCGCAAGCTGGAATAGTGGATGTGATCATGTGACATCATCCCTGACGTAGATGTGGGTAGGGACAGCCCAAGCGGGGTTACTTGGATTGGGACTCATGTTTCAATCTCTCTCTACTGACTAATCTCTCTCCGTTAAAGACAGAGCGAGCTCTTCCCCGTTTTATATTCTCTAATCTCTCTCCATTGATGACCGAGCGACTACTTCCCCATTTCGTAACCCTCCAATCTCTGTAGGCTGTCTTCGGAAAAATTTGTGCATCTCCATTTTATTTTATTTTCTTTTTCCGCTGCAAATGTAGTTTCTTTTCTGAGTGATTTATTTATAAGAGCAACACACAATGGTGTGAAAAAAACAAGTAGTGCATCACATCCATGTGTGTCCAGCACTAGAAGCAGTGACTTTGCAATTATTTACTTCCTTTGGATGGTCTTTTAATGTTAGTAGAGTTTTAAGTTGGATCTAGTTTCTGTTATGTCAAATGTTTGTAATAATTAATCAGATTCTCTTGCTTGCAAGGGATGAAGCCAGATTTTATCTATTATCTAAAACAAAACAAAAACTGAGATAGTTTTTATTCTAATCAAGTCAGGTGCATGGAGAAACCTTGAAAGCACAGATAAAGAGGCAGGTGCATGCATATGGTAAAGAAACCAAATGCCATAAACTTTACTCAGCTAGCTAGGCAGGGCGAGCAACCGAGGAATCCAAACGTGCCCTACATTTTAATGATTCGTCTTTCGGCTATTCCATATACTTCCTATGTAATCGTTACTGCGTTTGGAATCTTCCTTCAATCTCGTATGTTTCCTTTTATTTCTTGTTTTCACTGTAATGATATTTTTTTTGTCACATTTCCTATAAGGCAGGTGACTGAAAACACCCGTGGCTACAGGCGACGCCCTTCCCCACGTGCGCGATCCCTCTCTCTCCCCGCGTCACTTGCTCTCTCTCCCCGCGCCGTGCCCACCGCGCCCGCCCGCCGTGGCTCCTCCTTCTCTCCCTTCGGCGGCGGCGGCTCCTCTCCCTCTCTCTTTCCCCCGGCACGGACGGGCCCTGGTGCGGCAGCCCCGGCGCAGCGGCGGCGCGGATTCAGTGGCGCGGCGGCCCAGACAAGGTAAGCCCTCCTCCTCCTCCTGAATCTAGGGTTCCGGCCGAGCCCTAACACGCCTGTGCTGGAGGAGGAAGATGAACAGTGACTGCCTGAGATCTATCGGATGTTGATCTAATGGTGGAAAATCGTCGCCTGAATGAAAGCCAGATTTCAGGCGCATGAAGAATAGCAATTCCCTTTTTTGATTGAGCAATCGGATTGAAATTTTTGAAAACCTTATCAAACATTTACCAGAATTTATTATTAACCTCAAAAAAGGGCAGAATCCCCTTCAAAACCACCCCCACGTAGGTCATGGAGATAATAATTTAATTGATTTTGCCAACATTCAAGCCGGTCACTAGTTTTTTTTACCTCTCAACTTTTAAAATTGTTTGTTTTTATACTTTAGGTAGTTTTGATGGTGGTTTTGCTAATGTGATGCAACGTCTGAGGGGGTAAAAAATCGGACTAAGTTGTAAGTTCATGGACATAAACTAGACTAAAATGTTTTAGAAAATTTCCATAAAATCATTAAAATTTCAAAAATCTATCTAAATATTTTTACATGAGAAAACAATACAATTTAAAATCCTAAAATCTGGTTTAATCTTAAAAGAATTGTTTTACCTTGGGAAATTATGGAACTAGTTTTAGTTTTTTTTTTCGAAATCATGCTCTATCCCATGGTGTCTAGCTTGAAATTGTGTGAATCTTGATGTGGACTCATTTTAATGCTTATTTGCTAGTAGAAGCTATAGTCATATAATATAATTAGTTCAAATGGACCATCTAGACTACGTAGAAGCGCCGCTGAAGCGTCGTCAGCACGGTATTGGGCGGTAGTCTGCTGCTTTGGATAACTTTTCAAAGTAGTTGTGTTAGCCAATGCAACCCTGCCCCATGTATATGCATGCATGCATGCACCCTTCGTTTAATATGCCGCAAAAACAACAGTTTTAAAAGTTGAGGGAAAGTGGGGGTTTAAAAATTGGTTTGTAGTTAATTGAGCAAAATCGGACGACCACGCTAATTGAGCAAAATCGGACGACATGGTGTGGTTCCAGCCGTATTGGAGGATGTCCCGGTACTGGGTAGATGAAATCGAGGGGGGCGCCCGCGTCGTCCTGTGAAGGCTCCATCGCCTCCTTAATTCGTTGCGCGACCTCGGAGTGGGGGAGCGCTTCCTCAGCAAGCACCGTTCCGTTGAACAACGCCTCAGGCGCCATCGCGTACAGCAGGAGCGCGCGCATCATCAACGGCGCCACCCTCCTTGCGTGGTAGGCCCCGATGACGCCCGATCCCTTCAGGCCGCTCTCCTTCAAGATGTGGATGGCGGCGATGTGGTCCCGGATTTTCTTCTTGTCTTTTTTTCGGAACGCCCCTTCCTCCACGACTCGAGGCCTCTTCAATCAAAGCGTCCGGTGAACTCCTGAGGGAGGATCGCGTCGTTCTTGAGGTAGAACCACCGTGAATGCCACCCTTGTTGGACGTTGACAGCCGCGACGGCGGTACTCGTTGACCCGGTTGTTCCAGAGTTGGATGCTTGGCGCACCCCATCGGCATGTGCGGTTCACCGCCGCTCTTCTCCCTCTTCTTCTGGAGGGTGATGGCGAAGAAGTACCTCCACAGATCGAAGTGGGGGCTGATCCCCAGAAATCTCTCACACAGGGCGATGAGCGCCGCCATGTGTTGGATCCCGCTGGGGTTGAGATGATGCGGCTCTATCTTATAGTAGTGCGGTGACCCTCGGAGAAATCTAAAAGGCGGGGTTGAGAACCCACGCTCATGGAAGCGGGCAAGCGACACTATGTAGCCATCGGCGGCGGCTGCAGATCCTTCTCGTCGGGTAGCAACCACTCCTCGCCCGAGGTCCATGCGCGAAGAAGACCGCGATGGATGAGGCCCTCTATGCGCTAGAAGGTGATGTCAGAACGGCACCACGGATCCATTGGAGGTGGGGACGGTTGGATGCGGGCTCGATGGCGGCGGGGATGCTAAGCAGGGAACCCTAGGTGATTGGTGGCGGCTGTTGTGGTTGTGGAGGCAAGGATGCAAGGTATAGAACCTAGGGGCGAACCCTTTGGTTTTATAGGGGCGATGGATGTGAGGAAACCAACCGTCGCCTAGATCTCTGCGCCTACCACAATCGCCACAACGTCTCCCGTGTGGGACGCGCACATTTAATCTCTATTCATTCCCTCGAAAGCCCTGAAGGACACGTGGACGCCTAAGAGGGGGATGAATTAGGCAACTTAAAAATCTAACTCAAGACTATGGCCTCTTTTTCTACTTCTAGCAAAACCTATGCAAAAGATAATCTATCTAGATGTGCAACTACGGTTTCGCTAGTGTGTTGCTATCTCTACCGTAGATGATAATAATATGATCAATGTAAATGCGGAAGCTTAAAGAGCAAGGTAGAGATATGCAAACTCCCGTCGATGACTCCGGTATTTTTACCGAGGTATCGAGAAAGCGCAAGCTTCCCCTAGTCCTCGTTGGAGCCCTCGTAAGGAATCCTCGCAAGGGCCAAGCTCCCGGTCGGGTAACTCCGTGGATAGCCTCGGGCCTTCCCCCCGCAGCAAGTGGGTCTCCGACGTGCCTTCCGGCAAGCCTCTCCCGGATGCTCCTGCCGTCTCCACTATCAAGCTTTCGGCTTTAAACGAAGCATGGGCCTTGTTCCCCCTTGCAGACACGGTGGCGGCCGCACCACAAACGCGGTTGGTGCGATCTCACAAGACTTCAAGCCCCTCCGATGTACAACTCTTGTGCTCGCAAGCACGGGGTGGCAAGAGGTATGCAAACCTCACTAAACACTAGGCATACACCTAGAGCAAGCGCATAAGCGGTGGTCTAATCAACCTAAGCACTTCGCAAAGCACCTACGCTAATCACCTGATAGAACACTAAGCACTATGCATGTGGAGATCACTCAAATAGTGTATCAACACTCTTGGTATGTTTCCTCAGCTCCACGCACTTCAAATGGCGGTTGGGGTTGCATTTATAAGCCCCATCGAGAAAATAGCCGTTGAGGTCAAACTCTCGCAAATGCTCATCGGCCGGACGCCTGAATCGTCTGCCGGACGCATCCGATCCGTCCGACCGTTGCAACCACGAACTACCGATCGAGCGTTGCGGCGTCCGGTCGCTTACCACCGGACGCGCGTCGGTCGCGATTCAAGGCGCTGGAACCTCTCTCTATACTCGATCGGACGCTGCGTTCTCTGCGCGTCGGTCGGTTGCCGCCAGCCGTCCGGTCCTTGCGTCCGGTCACCTATCTGCCGAGCCACCGGTCCAGCGTCCGGTCGCGCTTCCAGCGTCTGGTCGCCTCTGCGAGCTCGTTTCTTTGTGATCTTGCGTACGGCTTGGTTCCTATCTTCATGCTTGGACTTTGCTTGATTTCTTGGGTCTTCTCTTGTGCTTCTAAAGTCTTGCTTGAGGTGTTGATTATCGGATCATCACGTCGCCTTCGTCCAAGTCACGTCTTGCACCCTATTGGACTACAAAATAAATACTTGTAAATTCATTAGTCCAATTTGGTTGTGTTGGTCATCAAACACCAAAATCCAAAGTAAATGGGCCAAGGGTCCATTTTTCTTACAAAAACTCGCCGGACGTTTTGCCTCTCCAG